GTCCTTTATTTATAGCAGTACAATCCCCCTCATGCAGAAAATAGTCATCTAAACAGCACCACAGTCATCCTTATGCACACATGTGTTTTGATCTATGTGCAGGATTGGGTTAGGCACTTAAAAGACAGGGCATATGCATAAAAATAAATATTGCAAATAAGGTAGTAGTATTTCAGAAATTTAATAGAGAAAAAGTAATGCTAAAGACAGTGATGGACAAGAAGGCTGCAGTGGGCATTGACTGGGCCTTGAGAACTGGTAGGGCTTAAAAGAATGAAGGGCTTGCCTGAGGAGAGGGTGGAGAGTATAGATTCCAGACCCACAGTTACAATCATGAGGCGAATAGAGCCAATGTAGGAGCAGGAGGTTTATAAAGATGAGTTTGGGGAGCTAAAACTTGGGAGGGCCATTGTGGAAGACCTGGAATACAAAGGTGTGGAGTTTAGATTTGAGCTTCTGGGGAGAAGAGTGTCTTGAATGGGTTGTGTTTGGGAGGTGAGTGTTACAGATGTATTGGTGTTTTGAAGGACTAGATACTCTCCAATATGAAAGGTGAAATTGCAGAGAATTAAGTCAGGAACATCATTTAGAGAGCTATTTAGAAGGTTTAGGGAAAACCTTGTTCCTTATTGTTGTTCTGACCTATGTGGCTTTTGATGTAATCAGAGTCTGAATTAGGGCAGTGGGAATCAAAAGAAGGAAACTTAGTGATGACAGTGATCCATCACTGAGAGGGTGGGGGATTCCAAAAGAAATGATGAAGAAAAGTCCAATTGAGTTATTGAGCAGAAAAGGTAATCTTGAAATAGGGAATCAGGCCTAGAAATGGAACTTGGTTTCACTTTTAAGGTTCCATAATCCTAGGAACAGTCTAGTTACCTCTGGGTTACTACAGAATCTTCAAAGGACATTATATCATAGATTGTCAGTGAATGCTCACGGTTTGAATGAATGTTTTTCAGGAGCTATGCAGTAATTATAGTCATACATGTTCTCCTCTTTTCTTGGTAGCCTTGGGCTCACACAGAACCTGGCAGATTTCTTTCAATGTGGCTGCTTTGGCTTAGTGAGACCCTGCGCAGTAGATTGGACATCACAGTACACCATGGTCTTTCACCCTGCCAAAGAGAAAGTTCTTCGCTCCGTATGAAGAAAAAGAACATGAAACTCTCGCTCTGGTTTTGTTTTTCTTTATGTTGATGCTGTGTGGTCTGAAAATGAAGTGAAATTTAGAGTTCACCTGAGCCCCCCAAAAACACAAGTGGCTTTAACCCTGTCATAAAACAGTTCTCAGTAAGTGTATACCCTCTTTCAGACCTAGAAAGATGGACTAATCCTGAACAATCTTGGCAGACATCTTTAAATTTTTATATTTTTCCCAAGAAATTGAGTTTCTTCTTTTTTTAAGATAACATTCACTGACTATGGATAAAATATTTTCAGATATTGGCTGCTTCAAAATAGTACTATTCTTCAAACTTGTAATTTTTGATAAGTTATTTGTTGTATCTATAAATATGTAAAGAATATTTAAATAGATATGCCTGTTACTTTCACATTTAATAAAAAGATTTTTTATAATTGAGACTGGTTTTGACACTTAACATCTTTAGACTCAAATAAATTAAGAAAATATGTTATATGACATAAAGGAACAAATTTACAGTTTTTAGGAAATAAGTTGAGATTATTATTAACACCAATAAGCAAGATTTAACTTAGTTTTTCATCATATTTAGAAAATTTAACATAAGAAGTCTTAAATGTTAATTTCTATTTTTACCATTAAAATATTAGACTCCTATGGTTGTAATTACTAATTTCCCTTCTTCTGGAGGAAATACTGGCTCAGCTTAACTCTTAGTGTAGTATACATGGGCATGGCACATTTTCCCATTGTAAATCCTTTCTTGAGTTCCTATTGCTCTTGGGGTGAAAGTTAAAATTCTCATTATGACCTGCAAACCCCTGAGTGATGCAACCCAGTTTCATCTTACCAGTTCCCCCTGGACCACTTTGTTCTCTAGTCATATTGACCTTTTCAGTTCCTTAAGGATCCAATCTTCTACAGAGTCCAGATAAGGAACTAAACCCGAAAGAAGTTTGTACCTTTCCAAGGTCATATACTTAGTGGCATTAGCACTGTAGAGTTCCTATCACCTAGAATATTGCCTGACACAGTGTGCATTCAATAAATATTTGAATTAATTTTTTGAGCAAAATAAAGGGTTTTTAAAAAGCAAGACATGATGTGATCAAAATTGTGTTTAAAGTTTCTGATTCTCCATTAGTAGACAGGGCTTTCTCAAGCTATCTTTTCTGTTTTTCTCACCAATCCCTACCAAGTAAGTATTTTCAAATTATACCTACATTATTTGGATCAGAATCACAAGGACTAGGTGGGGAATCTGGGGCTCACTTATTTTCAAAATACTTCACCTCAGACCTTCCAGTCTAGCCCAAACCACTATATTTTAACACTCCTCCCTGACATGAAACATGGAAAGTCCATTTCATTAATTTTTAGGTTATTCCACATATATTTATTGAGCACAAAGGTAAGTCTTGCATGGAGTTTGTAGACTAGAGAGAAGCTAACATAAATGTTAAAAGCCATTTAAGAGAGGTGCAAGTAAAATATTGTTGGAACCTAGAGGTTGGGGAGAGCCTTGCTGGATATGATCAAGGAAGTGTTTATGGATGGTTTGACTAAAAGTATGAGGTGTACAAGAAACAGTGGGAAGTGGAATAACTTGGTTGTGGCACATTTGATGTTCCAAGTGCATATTAGTCAAGGGAGTTAACGTGATAATAAATATCCCCTCTGTAGCTTTAAATAGCCTTAGTCTTAGTGGCCAAACATATGGCTTATTTTGTCTCATGTCACAGTCTGATTAGCAGATATCTCTCATTCTGTGAAAGGATCCAAACTCCCTCCCAGCTAGTGGCTCCACGTTACCTTGGAACTCAGGGTGTACTAGACCTTTAGTGTACAGAGATGTGGAAAGAATAGAGACTGTCCTGTGAAGTCTTGGATGTCAGAACTTCATTGACCAAATCCAGTCATACGTCCCAGTCAGTAGTAGGGGAGTCTGGAAAATGTAGTGGGGAGTCTGGAAAGTGTAGTGTCCCCAGGAGACAAAAGAGAAATTACAATATTACTGGACCACAATGAGGTTTTTCCTTTGTTTCACTTTTTACTTTTTAAGTTCCTTTATTGCAGTATATATAATAATCTCTTCTTTTAAATTTAAGCAGGATTCACATTTAGTCTGGCTTACATTCTCTGCCATTTCATTCACTCAACAAATGTTTATTAAGGGGCCACTATGATTGAGCACTGTGAATGCAAATATATCACATTCTAAGAAGGAGGCAAATAGGAAATCAAAATTCAATGCAATGAGACAAGCCTATGTTAATTATATCCTGACATGGAAGCCAGAGAAGTGGATTCATTCTGCTCAGGTAGTTCAGAAATGATTGCAAAGGAGATGACATTTGACCTGTGATTGATTAATAGTTTACCAGGCTAAAGAATTGTGATGAAGATGGAGGGGTTTCCATTTTCCAAGAATTCCAGGCAGACAGAACAGCATTAGCAAGACATGGTGGGGCAAGAGTACTAGGCATATTAAGAAAGCATCAAGCCTTTGAATGTAGCTGAAACTTGTGTGGAGTTAAGTTGAAGGGTAAGGTTGAAGCCAACTTGAGAAAGTCCTTATATGATACACTGTTATGAGCTGAACTGTGCCTCCCCAGAATTCTTATGTGAAGTGCTAACCCCTAATACCTTAGAATGTGACTGTATTGCCTCTAGAGGTAATGAAGACTAAAGGAGGTCATAGGGTTGGGCCTTAATCCAGTCTGTCTGGTATTCTTATTAAAAGAGGAGTTTAGGACACAAACACAGAGTATAGACCATACAAAGACATGGGAAAAGATGGCCATCTACAAACCAAGGAGAATGGCTTCAACATCTTAATCATACTTCTAGCCTCCAGAGCTGTGAGAAAATTTATTCTACCCAGTCTATGTACTTTGTTATGTCAGCCCTAGCGAACAAATACAAAAACCAACAACTGGGAATGGAGAGGGTGTCTTCTAGAGATATGTTGGAGTCAGAATCAAGGAGATCTGAGGAGTGGGTGAGGCAAGAAAGGGTGAGGGAGAGAAGGCAAGCTAAGGTTGACTGGTATTAGCTTCAGTCTCCTGGATACATGGATGGTGGGGCTCGTAGCTGAAATGCAACAGAGGAAGAAGTTGGATTGTCCTATCAGCATGTCACATGTGTGTCTTCCCCTCAGCAAAGCTGGAAGTCCCTAGCACTGGGCCAAGGTAGTATATTCCTTTTGAAGTTCACACAGGTCTTGTCAGAGACAGCACATAATCAGTGTTGAATAATTATTCAAGATAACCTTTCTTGGGGACTTGAAGCATAGAAACTAGGTTTAGCCTAGTGTTTCATAGATTTTAATCAGTAGATTTTTATTTGCTTTAATTTTCTCCAAATAATTGAGAACTGCTCAGAGGTGGGAGAGATGGTGTGGTTGCTAAAAAATAAAAGGGGAGGGGGGTGGGTACAAGAAGATGCAAGCATTCAAGCTGCTGAGATTTGCTGAAGAGGCAGAGAAAGACATCCTTAATTGACTGCATTTTATTTATGAGGCTGACAATTTGATATAGGAGAAGTTTTAAGTAAGTTACTAAACCCCTGGGAATTACCCTACAATAAAAGAAAATCCACATGTCATTTATAATACAGAACCAAATGCTGTGCTTTATTGTCATTTCTGTTTTCACAAAACTTGTGATATTGCAAAATCTATGATAGAACAAAAGGATCAACTCTTCAGCAATTTTATTAGTTTTGAATTTTTCTTTTAGAATTTGTTGTCATGTTCTCTATTTCCTCTCAGACCTCCTGTTTTTTTCTTCACTAGCAATAACAAGAAAGACACTTGGCCGACAGATTCTGAAAGACTGTCTAAATTTTCCTGTTGTTTCTTCCTTCTTATTCCTTTCCAAGTTGACATCTAAATTCATTCTCTGCAGCTAGTTTTTTAAACTAGTTGTGTGTTTTTTGAAAATCTCCCTCTATCCAAAAAAAAAAAACCAAAGATGCAGAGATATACAAGGTACCACTAAAACATTTATTCATTGCCTCTTCCACCCTAAGAACCGTAAATAGTAAAGCATCTGTTGCAGATTAAATTTTAAGTAATTTCTTCCAAAGTCTCTTCTCACTTTGGGTAGAGCCTATGATCACTTCTGAAGAGAAAGGCCGTCCAACTACAAACGAGGCTGTTTGGGGAAAGCTCTCGGTCTGCAGGATTACTTGGCAATGCTTTCGGCTGCTGAAGGTTATGAGAAAGGGTGCACCTTTTCACTCTTTCTTTTCTACTTGCTGTGTAAGGCCTCCAAACCCAATGCCTGTGGGGCCAAAATTCTTGGCATAGCAAACTGTGAATGATAAGAGGTGAAGGGAGAGAGAATATATTGATTAGCACTATTATTCCAGGTCCTTCTGTCCAGGTAACATCCTTTTACCTGTTAGAAGCAACCTTTTAATAATTGTATGCATAAGTTAACTTTTAAATAAGCCAAACTACACTTACCTGAGATCTGCTAATAAAAAATTTTGTTTATACTTCTTCGCACTTTACAATGTTCACAGGCATTTTCTCACTTGAGTTTTAAAATCTGGCTCCAGATTGCCTGCCCAGCCTCCACCCCTGCCAAAACGCCTGCCTCCTGGCGCCTTCCCTATACTCAAGGCACATACTTCTTGTAGTTCTTGGAATGTACCATTATGTCTCTGCTTAGGGGTCACTGCTCCCTGTTTCTGTAATGCCCCTTCCCAAACCCACATCCATCCTTCAAGCCCAGAGAAAGCATGTCTTGTGAGAAACCCTCCCCTCCCCCACGCTGATTGCTGTCCTCTTTGTAGTCCCCTGCACTGTGAGTGGTCCTCTACTATAGCTGTTTTCACGTTGAAATGCAATTTGTTTCATGTCAATCTTCCTACTGGTTATACCAAGATTTTAGGGTTTTATAGTCTAGGAATGCCGAGAACCCTCTGTGTCTTCTACTGCCTGTTGGATGGTGAGTTACTTCCCAATCTGTCTTGTCACAGAAAAGCTTTAGTAAACTACAGTCTTTTTTTTTTTTTTTTTGTGACAGGGTGTCACTATATAACCCAAGCTGGCCTCTAACTCTTCTGCCCCCCAAGTATTAGGATTGCTGGTACACACCACCAATGCCTGGCTACCTGCAATATAGATTAACAATGCCCTTTTAACCCTCTTTCCACTGCTTCTCCCACTCCACTGTGCCATGCACAATTGGATAGCCTTGTGACAGCCTCCTTAAGTAACAATACTCCTCTGAGCAGCAGAACAGGCCTTGGAGAGGTGCTAGCATTAAAGTCACATTGCCCTGGCCCTAGTAGATCAGTAAGCTACACCTCACTATCTTCACAAGACCAAGGGATTATAGAGATAGGTAGGAGCAGAGCTGCAAGGACCAGGAGGAAAGCCAGTTCTGTCCTTGAGGTCACTAAAGGGCATGCAACAGCAGAAACAAATGATGAGAAGGAGGAAGGGAAGATGGTAATACAAAGAAGCAATGGAGAAAAGAAAGGGCCAGGGAGGAAGGGAGGAGAGAGACAGATATGTCTTGATAAGCCCAAGTGAGGTCAGACTGAGTTCCTCCCCATATTTGCTACTCAGGTGGAAGGAAATTTGGATTTTTAGAAGGGGTTGTAATGCTGTTTGTCCAGGCCCCAGGCTTCTTAAGAACACTATTTCCTCTGCCTTCTTTTGCTCCACCCCAAGGCACCTGCTGACCTGAACCCACGGAGCATCTGCAAGCCTCTGGTTCCCACAGGTGCTCCAGTGAGGAGGACCAGAGCAGAGCCAGATGATCTCTCCACTTTCTTTTGGTGATTTTTTGTTGTTGCTGATGCCTTTTGGAGCAGTACTGGGGTTTGAACTCAGGGCCTTGTACTTGCTAAGCAGGCACTCTACCACTTGAGCCACACCTCCAGCCTTTTTTGCTTTAGGCATTTTTCTGATAGGGTATCATGTTTATGCGTGGGCCAGTCTAGACCATGATCTTCCTATTTTCACCTCCCATGTAGCTGGGACCACAGGCACATGCCAACTCACCCAGCTTTTATTAGTTTAGATGTGGTCTCTCAAACTGTTGCCTGGACTGGCCTAGAACTGGGAACCTCCGAATCACCGCCTCCTAAGTAGCTAGGATTACAGGCATGAGGCACTACACCCAGCCCTTTGGCAGTTGTGCTCCCTCTCCTGAGAGTCCAAGCCCTGCCCGGGCTGAGCAGCCCCATTCCTGGCAGACACAGGCAAGCCTCTGGGCATGGACACAACATCCCCTCCTTATCCCCTTCTTGGGAAAACAAGTCTCAAGAAAGTCTCTGGAGCCCCTCACCTTTGCAATAAAGTTCCCCATCTTTGTCAGTGACATTGGTGGATTCCAGACTCTTCCCACAGATGGCGCAACGGAAACAGGTCTTGTGCCAAGGCTGAGGGGCATAAAAGAGTTGCATATCAGAGGTGAGCAGTACATTCTAGTTCCATTTCAAGTCCTCTGGCCAGAAGTATACTAAAAAATGCCACTGACTTAGCCTTTCTCTTACTGAATGGGACCCTCAAATATCCAAATATTTGGAAAAAATGATATGCATTGGCCTTGGCCAGCAATTCTCAGAATCCTGTAAATGGATTTATCATGGCAATTTGCATATGTGTTTCTTCAGAAAAGACCTAAACCAGAAATGGCTTTCCCAGGGCTAAAAGATCCAAGGAACAAACTGGTCAGTAATGGACTTGGGCTTGGGGTAGTGTGTAATGTCAATATTGAATATAAAGTTAAAGAAGGAAAAGGTGAAGAAATAGGTAATTATCCAGGCAACCCAACCTTGTTTTAACTCTGTGGGTAATTGTAAAGGCTACGTTGCATTCCTTGGATCTTCCAGAAGGTCGCCTCACCCCTGTGCATCTGCATGTCTATCTACCAGGCATAGCCTGCAGGTTCTCATGTGTCTGCAAATGGCTCTAGTCTTTTGGTCCCCCTTCCCCCTTTTAATATTAACAGGATTTCTCTCTCCCCTTAAGTCCAACTCCTTTGGGGGAACTCCTTGGCTTTGGACTTGAAACTGAAGCTTGCAGGGTGGTATACATTACAGTCTCAGATTTTCTTGAGACTGGAGCAATTGTGTGAGGATACTCCTTGCTATTGTGAGATGGTTGCTGTGTGACAGCAGCAGCAGGTTGAGTTACACAGCGGTGAAGAGTTCCCACAGTTGACAACTTTCTACAATGACTGTGGACACTGATGGGCAGTGGGGGCTTGTGTGCCTTTGTATCCCCAGAGCTTAGCTGGCTGCCTTCCCACTAGTGGGTTAACACTTGTTGCAGCAAATTGCACCACTTCTAGCTTTCCAAGAGCACTGCCAGGTATCAGTCACAACCTGGGAAAGTGGATATGTGGTATCTAAACAGGTTCCAGGGCTAAGGGGAAGGAAGGGTCTTGCCCCTACCCACCCACAGTTCCTACTTTCTTCTCTCATTCCTCCCAACTGGTCTAGCAGAGATGAGCCAATCCCATCTGGTTCACACAGAAGGCCTTACCTTGCCACCTCCCATGACCTTTTCAGCAGCATAGACTGACTTTCCACAGCGAGGGCACTTCTCTGACTCTCCAAACTTTGCAGTGAACTTGGAAGGGTTGCTGGTGGTGGCTGAACGTGCTGGCTTTGGGGACCTGGAAGAAATAGGCAAATGAATGAAATGTGAACCTCTCTTTACACACAGTATGAACTCTGTGATCTCAAAGGAATTACCACATTTCTCTGTGCCTCTGTCTCATTATCTGGAAAATGGGGGTAATCATGGTGGCTTTCTAGAGATTTGTCAAGAGGGTTAAGTGAGGTGATATGTGCTAAAATGCTGAGAACAGTGCCTGCCTGATGTGTACGGGCTAATAATATGTGAGCTACCAGGGGCTTAATTTTTTCCTTTCTGTCATTAAAACACTTAGCAAGTGCTCCATGTATGTTCTCGTGTATTACTATCACTACTATTGTGCTGTTATTATTGCTGTGCTTGTTTGTTTAGATTTTCTGTATTGTCCTGAAGCTCACCAGTTTGTTATATTAACTGAGTTGTGAAAAATTCTAGGGAAAATGAGATCTAGACTGTTGGTGCTAACCCGTTCCCAACAAATCACAGTCCAATGAGCTGATGCATTTCTTACCACAGTTCAAGCTCTCCTACATCCAAAGGTCACCTGTGCCTATGACAGCAATGCCCAAAATAAAGGCACATAATAATCCCTTGTGTTTTATATTTTTTGGTGTTCCCTTGTGCATTATATCACTTGAGCCTCAGCACAACCCTGGAAAGAGGGCAGGGCTAGTCCGAGGAGAGCAAGAATCAGAGGGGTAACAAGTCCAGGCAACTCATAATTGGTGACTTCTTTTTACTCTTTTCTTAATGTTGCTAAGTGACTTTTAAATAATGTGAGACCAAAAATGCTGTTGGCTTCATCTTTAAGAAACATCATCTGGGATTGAGTAAGGAGAGAAATTAGCAAAGAGTAATTCTTTCCTCAAGATGAGTAATCACACGCCCCTCTATTTTTCCAAGCTCTGTAGTAGGTTGCTCTTTCCAGAGGGGACTGGATGGTAACTCAGATGGCCTAACTGCTCTCTGTGACCTCAGTTGGTCTGGGCCTTTCTGGTCAGTTCCACAACACAGCTGATCCTGGCTACCAGCTGGCTGGACAGCAGCTACAGACCAGTGACCATCAGACTATCCTCAGTTCTGAACTAGAGGACAATGCGATCATCAAGAAAGTGGACCCAGGGAAGCAGACTGGTAGCCATTGTGATAGTATCAGAGAAATCCAGCACTGTATGAGCAGGAGGAAGTCAGGGAGACTCACAGAACAATCATAATTGTTTATTCCTGAGACTCAGTCCATTCCTGCTGACCCCTCCCTTTGTGATGTAGACATTAGTCATCTTACAACCAAAGAGAAAAAATCTTTTAGTGACAAGCACACAGAGACTAGCCGTCGCTCCCTGCCATATTTATGTGATTTACACAGAAACTCTCAAAGGAAAAGAAAAGAGACTCCATGCAGTTTTGCAAAGGTCAAACAATAGAACATCTGTACATTCTGGGTTTTCTCTTGACATGGAAACCAAGAGCCATGGTGTAAAAGTAATTGCCCTTTAGAAAGGCAGATAATTTAAAGACAGTCTTTGGAGAATGATACATTGTTAGAACTTGGTCAGACTAAGTATTCCTATTGTTGGCAAATCAACAATAGAGTTCATTCTCCAACTTCCAGAAAACGTTGCTATGGAAACAGAATGAACTGTCCTGATAATTGGAGACTCTAACAGAGAAGAGAAAGAATGACAGTAACTCACTGTTGGAACTGCAGGCCGAGGTGCTCGCCTGTGTCCGTGCTGAGACAGCCAGCGCCTTGTCCATATCCGATCCCCTTAGGGCCATACCTGCGCCCGTAGCAGACCTTACAGTAGATCTCTGACTCATGAGCTGCCACCGTGGTGCTGTCGAGAGCCTTCCTGCAGGCCACTGCCAAGGAAAGGGAAAGTCAGGGGTTGTGGTTAAAAACCTTCTCCCTTTTTCCTGCATCCCAATGTCGTGCTCAGGAGGCCTCAAGTCAAGAACATAATTGTGACTCCTGACAAGTCATTAATTCCAAGACTCCCAGTTTCACACATGAGGAAATTGGGGCACAGAGAAGGGAAGTGACATGTTCAATGTACCCAGCTGGGAAAAGGCAGAGGCCAACATTGGACCAGGTGTGTGGTCTTAGACCTGTTAACAATACCCCTAAACAAGTCATGCTAGATGACATCAGGGACGTGTGTGTGTGTGTGTGTGTGTGTGTGTGTGTGTGTGTGTGTGTTGTGGTAGAAGTCTGGAGTTGAAGTAGAGGGAGAACTTATTTTTTTCCCTTGACACATAAGAATTAAGGCTGAGCATTTTCTGTACTAATCACAGTCTTTGAAAGACACTGTAATATTTAAGGAGACAATTGACATTGAGACCAATTTGGGTCCAATTCTGGAAGCAGGGAAGGAGCAGAAGGGACAGACCTGGCTCATAGAACCCTTAGGCTTTCCACTGGTTGAAAATACCTGGGCACCTCATGTGAAGTATTCCTAGACATAAGGCAACCAATCCTCCATTTTACCAAAAAGAAGCTTTATAGGGAGATTCTTTTGCTTGTTTTGATTTGCAAACTTGAAGAAAAAACTTTTTTTTTCAGTGCTAGAAATCAAACCCAGAACAAGTCTTTTGCCCCTGAATTACACCCCTAACCCAAGAGAAAAAAAAAAAACTTTTAAAGATGTAAATGAAAAAGTAAAATAGTTATTTAATTTAATAATACACATTAATAATATATTACTTTGGAAATATTACTTGTTTCAGATCTCACACAAATTCAGGGAATGATAGGGTCTAATATTTCTTTGCAACTTCCATACCGCCAATCACTTTGGGGACAACTGACCCAGCTTTGCTGAGCAGTTCACTTTCACTTCCCTCTGTGGTCTGTCCTTTGAGAGGTAGCCCTGTTTTGTGCCTGACTGGGGGATTGTCACATGGAAATTGTATCTCAGCAAGAAGAGTCTATTAGCATAACATTAAGAAAGATATAAATTGTATAAAGGGTTTCCACAACTTAACAACTTGCTGTATTATTTTGCAACAATGATCCTTAAAAGTTGTTTATAGTGATATTTATAATAGCAAAGTCTTATCCCTGGGAATAATAAAACATGTGCATTGAATTTATTTGCCTCTTCCATAATCTCTATAAGCAATCCAGCATGAAATGTTTCAAGTGGCATTTTGTTAAAAAATAAAGTAATTGAAGAAGCTAAGATTGTAGATGAAGAAGGACTGGCCAGGGGCTAATGATTGTGGGGCTTGGGAGAGAAAGGCATGTTGGAAGGAGATTCATTCAAGTAGATATGAGTTAAAAATTTTCTGCAAAAAAAGTTTTAAAAAGTGAAGTAATTGAGAGAATGTCCAATAGCATAAGAGATTTTATAAGGCTTTGAACAAAGGGCAAATCTTTCTTATGAAGAATAATTTGAGGGAAATGGGCATAGAAAAAATATCCCTGATTCTGTCCTTCTTACTGCAGTTACACCCTCTGCAACAACAGCTCACATATTCATTGATGATCTAGACATTGAGTTCCCTAGAAAACAAGCCTGCTTTACCTTAATGTCCTCCAGAACACAGCATAGAGCCTGGGACAGAGTTAGTGGTCTATAAACATTGGTTGAATGAATGAATGCATGTGTCCTTGGAGATCAGTGACTTCTCCACCATTATACAACAGTAATTACAGAACCATAGCTGACCTCAGATCCTTTGACTCAATCCGTGCTCATTTCCCTGCACTCCAAGACAGTCTGTGAACTACATGCCCTGGTTGGTTCTAGTGTCCCACCACAGGCAAAGGAGAGCTGTGCTATCCAGTACCATAGCCACTAGCCACATGATGTCAGGGAAGCACAAAATGCATACTCGATTCAAACACTTAGTACGAACATGAATGTAAAATACCCCATTAATAATTTATATAGAATTACCCACTGAGATATTTTAGATACATTAGGTTAAGTGAGATAGTTCAAAAATTGATTTTACTTGGGATTTTTTTGAATGCTTTTAAAACTATAGTTACTAGAACATCTCAATGTACATATGTGGCTTGCATTTTATTTCTTTTGGACAGTGCTGATATGGATAAGAACCATACTAATTCTGGAGATTAACTATGGAGAATTATCTAGAAGTCAAGACAACACTAAAACTAAAGTAGACCCTGCCTTTCTGAATCCTATTGCCAGCAGCTAAAGGCATGCCTGGGAACAGGTTAGTCTTGTGAGATGATGTAGAAAAGAACATTCCTCTCCAAGACCCTTCTGTCTACCACTACAGAAACTTACACTGCTCGGCTGTCCATCACACCTATGTGTTGGGCTAAAAGGGATGTACCACTAAGTGCTCAAATCCCTTCTACCATGCTCCACTGAACAGGGCATCTTCCTGCTACCTGGGAAAGACATGGCACCCCACACACAGAGACACATCAATGTTATTCAGAAGAAAATAAAAGCTGAGAATGTTGGACTTCCAGATCAAAAACCTCATTTTCTTCCTTGTAACAAACAGTACAGAAGGGATACCCATCTCTATTTTGCAGATGGGGAAATTGAGGCACACAATGGTGAAATGATTTACCTAAGGTTTCACAGAACCCAAATTCAAACCTTAGTCTTTTTTTTACTCCAATTCCAGTGTTCTAATATTCCATACTCCCACTTTTTTTAAAGAACATTAGTTATTTTGGGGCAAAAGTCAGAAGGTTGTGAAATATACTTTCTTGATAATGAATAAATTCTGGATAATTGTAATAATGAATAATGATGATGAATCTGAAGGAAGAATAAGACGACAAAAATAATTACTCATCATTAAAACCTAAAGCATCAGTAGTCAGCCAACCTAATCACTCAGTGTTTTTCCTTTTTCTTCTATGATAATTATTTTGCTGTGGGAGGTAAGGGATCATGGAATCAACTGCAGTGTGTGAAATGTTACTTTTTCTGGCAGCTTAAAGGATGGAGTATCTCTTTGCCCTAATAGTTGGAGCCCAGCCCTTGAAGTTCTATTTGAAACCATTTGGAGCTGCATGGACATCTTGCAGCCACTAGGCTGGGTCATGGCATGGGGTTGGTGTTGAAGTAGGGAAAGGGCTTGCCAAATATCCAGCAAAGATAGCCCTTGCACCAGACCTATAGGAGGAAAGCATAGAAGGTAAGTGCCCATTTAAAATTCGTGGCTGCTTTCTCTGGGAATAGGGGTAAAAACTAGGACACTGCAGAAGGCAGTTGTGCCAAAGAACACTGGACTGGAAATTTGAAGGCACAGGATCTATTTCTGGCTCTGCTGCAGATGGATGCAAACTGGCTTAGAGATAGAAAATGAATTGTCCAAAGTCACATGCCAGACTCCCAGGTAGATCACAGCAACAAAGTCCCCTCTTACAAATTTGTAAATTTGTGCCTGGCAGTAGATGGGAAATATTTTCTTCATCCAGTTCTGGTGCCCAGGCCATACAGAAATGGCATGAGTTACCCCCTGGCTAATATAAGTTTTTCTTAAGAAAGACCAGCCATAGCTGACTGCAGTGACAGCCAACCAGTGGGGGTGGCCCTTTGGCTCCAGATTACTGCTGCTTCCTTCCAAAGTGTGCCAAGTCACACTTTGTAAATGTCACCCCAGGGCCAGGGTTTTCACCATAGAGTACACAGGCAGACCAGCTTACCCTGACTTTGAATTGCAGGGAAATGGCCTCTAGGCTAGGTTAAACTAGGTGTGTGGTTGAAGAAAGGATGCTGGGATACAAAGGTTGTATTTCTCACAAGTTCCCAAATCATGTTTCTGCATGCTGACCATCCTGGGAGAATCACCAACCTATGTGATCAGTGGTTAAATAAGAACTTTGAAATGCCCTCTGGACAGTGAGGGTCCCTGGGTATCCACCCAACTCACTGCAGTGGAAACAGGTCTTGTGGAAACTCCTTCCATTGCACTGGATTTCTTCCGCATGGTAGACAGTCTTTTCACAAGCTCCACATTTTGCGCCTCCGCCCCAGTTTGGCATCTTGAAGACTTTCTGACCAAGGTCAAGTCTAAGAGGATATAAAGCAAATACCCTAAATTTAGGTGATCATTCCCTAGTAGTGCAATGATCTGAGGACCAGGATTCAGTTCCATTTATGCACCCCTTTTTAAGAATAAAAGATATTGGTCCTATACTAGGTAAGTGGTCTGGAAACCTACGTTGTGATTCAGGAATTCCCTCACCTTGGGCTTGTAGAGTGACTTAAGTAGTAGACTGTCTGCCTAGCAAGTGTGAGGCCCTGAGTTCAAACCTCAGTACCACCACCCCCCAAAAAAAAGGAATGCCCTAATCCTATCAGGAAGAACTACATAGCTTCTACTTTCCTTTTCCCACCTATCTACTATGGAGACTCATGTTTTCCCTTGCTGCTTCATGTGTTGTTTGGAGGACCAAATGACACAATGTACAGGAAGGGATTTGACAGAGTTCACCACAGATGATGGTACTGCTGTGTCCTCTTGCACTGGTGGAGAGCACTTTCCACAGCAAGGAGCCGCTTATAACCACAGCCCTAGACTGTCATTGTCTTCATTAGAGGATCATGTTTAAGAAATATTACTCAAAGAGGAGGATTTAAAAAATAATTTATGTGTATCTTTAAATATGAATCCAAGTTTTTCTTTTTCCCCAGAGCAGAACTGAAATAAGCTGTGAATACTCAGTGAAGTTTCTAAATCCTGCCAGCTGCCCTTGGGGCTAAATTTTCACTAGGAGCCTTTGGTTTCTAAGAAGCCTGATGTGTCATCTTGTCATTGACACTAAGCACTATCAGGACATTCTGAGTGGTTACTTCTGACCTTCTCTTTCCCTTCTGGGAAGCCAGTCACCTTCTTATAATATTTGGCGATTAACACTAAGCCCTCTTGGGTCAACTGCTTCAAATTGTGTCTCACGGTCTCATAACAAAGACAGTTTTTGCTAAGAAACAGAAAGTAAATAGCAAACAGACCACTGAACCTGACACTAGACTGAAGGGAAGGTCCCTGTCTAAACATCTCTCTAAAGAGCCTTTCCCCTTAGAAAGACTGAGGTCAGTGGGGTACATCCAATGCTTCCCCTTGTAGAAGTAGGCTCTTCTGTTTAGTAAAATTAAAAAAAAAAAACTCAAACACATTCACTTCCTATTTCTGTGGTTCAGTTTGTTTAGTGTAATAGATTTTTCAGTTGAAAATCCAATGCAACCAGCATTCATTCATTCATTCATTCATTCCATCACTACCTGCCTATCATTTGCCAAACACACACTAGGTAGTCAGTGACAGATCAAGAGGGGAGGAATTTATAAAGATGAGTGGATTGTGTGCCTTGGCACTGAAAAGCCCTCATTCCAGTGATGAAGACAGGTGGGAACCAGAACACTTTCTGAGAAGTGCTGTGCTGTGGAAACTTAAAGAAGTTCATTGTTGGGGGGGTACAAAAGAGATAATATTCAAATAGAGTTTTGAGGGGTAAATAGGAGTTTAGCAGATAAAGAAACAGAGGAAGGATGTTTCAGGCAGAAAAATGTTAGAGCCCTAACATTGATGCTTCTGGTGATGGAGCAGAAAGTCATAGAAACTCAATGTTCCCTAAAAGAGCCTAAATATTTTATTTTGGATTCCATTTAAACTGTAGACTCCTAGGACTGGAATAGATTTTGAAGATCATCTGAATCCCTCATATAAGCCAAGATGTGGCATAAAAAGTAAACATTTAGAAGTATTTTCTTAGCTAATTTTTTTTCTAGATCTATCCTCTCGGAAAAGAAAACATTTTCTAGAAAAGAGCAGAATCACATAATTTTGTTCATGTTCATTTTGATCCCAAGTTTCAATAGACTATAAAGTATAAGAGAAATGTAATATATTTTATCTAGGAACATGGCAATGACTCTAGTGAAATTAATGATGTGGAAATTTTCAATGAAAACAACCCTTGGATAAATTTTTCATTTCACATCTTCCGTGATTTCATTGGCATGTCCTCTTGTGAGTTAATGGGAGACCAATATGCCTCTTGGAAGAATATATGTATTATATATTATATATATAATGTATATAAGTATACATATATATGCAACTGCCTAGACATACTTTTCAAACTGAAGATAAGATTAAAAATAATACCTTCTTCACACAGCTGGTTTTTAAGCGATCATAAATCCCTGATAGATATACATCAGAACTTGAAACCCAAAATAGAAATTCGTAAATATTCAATTAACAGATACTCATTTCATTTCTAAAGATGGGAATGTAGCAGTGGAGGCTAACAGAAAATGTCTTTGATTTCTTCTTCCAATGCTCACAGGCCCAAAGGCCAAGGGTGTTTTAAAGCATCTGAACTCCAAGACATGGATTCTAGTCATGACATTATGATTTTAAACTTGAATGAAAAGTGTTAACAATATTATCTCTTGCACAGGACCATCGTGCAGGTCATAGAAGTGTGATGGAATTTAAAGCAGTGTTGAGAAGATGTGTGAAGGAAAAGTGTAGTTATCCTCTTTATTTCAGGTTATTCTAACAGCAGCAGTGTGCTAATTAAGTCACTATGATTGGAAAGCACATTTAGGTCTTGGCTTGCAAACATAACCTTTTCAGCCTCCACATTGCTTTGGAATTCCTGTGTCTCAACACTCTCCTAGCCAGGCTCAGGATATGAGTTTATCCTGGCATCATACCAAGAGATGGGCCATTTGTTTATCAGAGTTGCCTGGAACTGGCAAGGGTCATTGAAGGTAGGACACCAAATATAGGCTTGCCCGTCACTCAGCCCCATTTATCACCTGGGTCACAATCTCCATCACACCACCTGGCACTACACTCTCAGCCAGTCCCTGAGATGGCTTTGTTGTCACAGACAAGTCATGGGTCAAGATTGAGAAGGGAGACAGTCAGGAATTTACGATGAGATAGAATGCAGGGCTCCCCCTGTGAACATGGGATAGTGTGGTCTTTATTAGTCTTAGATACCCAGATCCCAGTGAGATCCTAGTGAGATCCCAGTGAGATCCCAGTGAGTCTACCTGAGTAGACTTCTTAGCCAGTAATGCTGTAGAGGAGAATCATTTTATGTGGGAATGTGCTGGAGTGGGTGGGTAGGATCAGATTCAAGCCCAAGTTCTAGTTCTTTCTTGCCTCCCCAAAGCCGTGTGATCTAGGAAGTCCACTTAACCTCTCTAAACTTCATTATCCTCTCTAAAATGTGGCAATAGTCCTTCCTATGCCACTATTGCTGGGAGAATTAGTTCAGTTCAGGTACTGTCAAATCCCTTTGTAAACTGTAGAGCATTCTGTCATAAAATCTAAGAGCTGATTAGTTTTGTCACAACTCTAAATTGTCACATATCAACCTGAACTTAAAAACAAAACCTAACTGTGAACTTTGGACAAATTCTTCTTCATCTTTCTCTTTTCTTTCTTTCTCTCTCTCTCTCCCTCTCTTTCTTTCTTTTCTTTTTCCTCCCTTCCTTCCTTCTTTTCTTCTCCCTCTCCCTGTCTCTTTTTTTCTCCTTCTCCCTTTCTTCCAACTATGGAACCAAAAGATAATGTCATAGTGGTTGGGTACATATAATGGTCATTTACTGATTTCATTTCTTCTTTGTAGGGATCCATTAAGGATTCTGGGAGGGAACCTTAGGCCAAGACTTTGAGCAGACACCTCCAACAACAGTGCTACAATGTGTTCAGCCCAGTGGTCACCCTTCCAGATGCCTGACTCCACACAGTGAGTTGAATTGTAAGATCCTGGGTCACAGGATCATGACCATTACTAACACTCTCATGTTAGCATTGAACTGGTCTGGAGCACAGCCTTTGGGGCAGGGACTATGGCACTCTCATAATCTTCATAACAACCCTGTAGAAACACTGACTTTTCACTTGGGGACATGGACTCAGGAAAATTACATCACTTGCCCTACATCACATGGCTGGAATTGTCACATGGTTAAATTAGAATTCAGATCTCAGACTCCAAGCTGTGTTCCCATACTAATATTATTGTCTACTGTATATCAGTTGCATTACATATATTATCTTTAATACTTACAATAGGCCTGCATGGAAAATTTTGTTTCCCATTTTGCAGATGAGAAAACTTAATAGAGAGCTTGGATGTTTGATCCAAGATCACACAGGTAGTAAGCAGCAGAGCTGCAATTCAAACTCCAGTTAAGCTAGTTCTCTATAGAAACTTCTGCTTATGACACACTGGAGAGGGGACAAGAATCAGCACTTCCATTAACCAAACTTCTTGGTTGATGGGAATTGATATCTGACAAATGCCTTGTCTCCTTATGGAACCCAGAGAGCATTTGTGAGTGGAGGGAGTTATAGGGGATTTGATTCAGTAGTATAAAGAACTTTCAAAGTGCTGTTTAGACATAGCAAGGGCTCCTCTGGAGTTGGTGAATTCTCTCACTATTGATTTTCAGCTCCTGTGAGGATGATGTCCAAATGACCGTGATGCAGTAAAACCCCTTCAAGAGTCCTTCAAGCCTGAGACAAATGTAAGTATCTGAACAGCCCTTAAAGCCTAATCTTGCAGAAATGCTGTCCAATGATGTCACATCTTAAACGCTGTCTCTTCTCTTGATTCAGGAAAGAAAGATGGCATAGCATAACAAAATAGCATGGGCTTTGAAAAGAAGCAAGCCTGAGTTCCAAACACTTTTGAATCTTGGGCAACTTGCTCAAATTCTTGAGCCTATTTCTCATACATATGAAGACAGGTTAAAAGGCTTGTCCAGAAAGGCTTTTTTCAGGCTGAATAAGATAATACTTGCTAAAACACTATGTGTAAATGCGTAGTGCATTACATCACTATGATGTAATACACTACGCATTTACACAGATTTCAGTTGCTTACATTTAATTGTTGATGGTATTATTATTTGATCTCCAATTTCCAAATCTATTTTCTATAAAAAAGCAACCTCTCCCTGCTTCTTATCCAGGGCCTTTCAGTATAGACTATGAACAACCAGCCTTCAGAGTGTGCCACACAGATACGGACAGGCAAGGAGGGAGTCAGCTCCTTCAGGTTAGATCAGCTTTCTGTGCCATTAACTGGGAATCAGGCAAGTCCCTAAGTCTTTGTTCTTCAGGTCACCCTGCCTCTCTTCAGCAGGTCTGACTGAGCGTACCTCGAGGGTCACCTGGGCTTTGAAGGGAAGCTGGAGCCCATACAGGGTCCTTGAGCCCAAGGGAAGAAAACCCTTCCACTCTTAGTATAGGACTATCAAGGTCAATGGAGTCCTTCTAAGCTTATAAACCCAGATATGTGTATGAATTCTCCCCAACACTGGCCCTTTCACAATGCTTGAGAAGCACAGGTTGCTTAATCCCAGCATGGAAATAATTGCAAGAGTTGGTTTTCATCCCTTTAAAACTCAGCATAGTAGACATATCTGTTTGAGTAAGGCTATACCATGTGGTCACATTACACCTTTCCTGAAATTATCTCTGAAGCACGCCTGACTTTTACTCTCACAAACTCACTCTTGGTTCTGTTTGGACATTGACACTTTAAAGATCACATTGCACTCTAGTTTACATCTTGACTCTGTTGCTTTCTAGCCATGTGATTGCTACACCCTTGAATTTCAGTTACTTCCTCTGAGCAATAACTTTTCCAAGACATTTTGTGACAGTTAAATAAGCAAATACTGGTTCTAAGACTACCTGGGGAAGTTAAGCAACCATCAGATCATGATCCGCACTGCCAAGATGATGTCAACAATAAGGTTCATCCTTCATGGCCCTTGAGACAGTTGGGCCTCCCTTTCTATGTTCCTTTCCTCACTGAATACTTGCACTTCTTCATGTTTGCAGACATCACATTTTTCTTTGACTATGAAGCCCAACCCTCCATACAGTATTCCCAGACATCAGAGCAGCACACTTGTGCCTGGAAGGTAGCCTACCTGATACTATATTTCTTGTGTAGTATATCCCTAGCGTTTTGACCTTCCTCTTGTAAAACAAATTAATCATCTTCTAACTCCTGGTCAGCTTATTACCTACTCTGACTGCTGGACTTTTATCAACACTCTTGTACTTTACAGAAAATTCTTGCAAAGTGTCAGGGATGGCCCTGTGCCTTTTCTAAAAGTCTTCATGTATCTGTACAGTTTTATTAAGCTTCCCAAATAACTTTCCTATATTTGATTTCACTCAATTCTTAACCTTAAGGCTGGCCTTGCCTTAATGGTATTGTTCAGAAAGTAGAAATTGAGAAGCTAAGTCGTATTCAGATCTAGAATTTGAACTGACTCTATGATAGATGCTGTTTGTTTTCTTCTCAAGGTTTCCAGGATTTATGAATTTGTATTTTATGAAGATTCTGTCTCTACCCACTCAGAGAGGATTTTGGTTATTTATCTGTTGAATGCTGCTGTATGCTCTCCCTCCCTCCTCTTTCCCCTGACCCTTACCTTCTTTCCCACCCCCATGTCCAATTCCCATCTCTGATGGATGGCTGTATGTCCTGGCCGAACAGCACCTGTCTGCCCGGCCTGAGGGCAGGCACCAGGCCCTGGGTCAGCTGTACCTCCTGCCTAACAGCTGGGGCTCATTGCCATGACCACAAATGACAGTTGTTCAAACAGGAACCAAAGCCAAGTCAAAAGAATTAAGTCCCCCACATTATCTATGTCACAAAGCAGTTTTACATACACACATTGTGTTGAATTGGTTGTACTGAGTATTGAGATTCAATCCCAAATGTAAAATGAGGACATGAGCTGTTCCCATTTCCCAGCCCTTCACTCACTCACGCCCAACCTTCTCTGCATGGTGCTGCCTATACCAGCCCTAGCTCTGAAACAAGAGATGGCTCATGTATGCTGATGAAGTTGCCTTACATTGTGCTATAGTTAGACAGGCCTCGCCATTGGTCACCCAGACCCTCCTCAGACCCTCCTTGTTGGAGGAGTCACCTCCTGGCTCAGGGAAGGAACAGAAATTAGAAGCAGCAGCTTTGATCTTTTAGCAACATTTCCACTCAGGCCACTGCTCAAAGCCACTTCTTGTTCATAGTCACAGCTATGTCTGTCATTCACTGGATATTAAAAACAAACCCTTGGTTGGAATCTAGAGGAAACACTGCGAATCACCTCTCATCCCTGGCTGGAAATTATCCTCCCGTTAAGTAAGAGTTTTTAATGAATTTTCAACCTAGCAATGTCTTATTTTTAGGACCAGTTTCAATTAATCTAAAATGATTAAAGGCAAGCCAGTTGCTGAACATCTTTGGGATATAACATCTATTTTAAGCCAACAAATTTGAAATCTCCGTCATCCACTGCCACCTTTTGAATAGCATAATTCCTTGTATTTTGAGCCTGGGAAACCTATGTTCTGTGATGTTGCATCTATTACAACTGTTTGTAGCTATGTAGTACTTCACAGTTTAGAAAAATATCACATTTATATCAACCCTTGAAGAGGAGGAAACTAAGACCCCAAGGGCAGGAATGTTCTTTAAGTCCCTCATCCACTAATATGTGATAGGCTTGTTGACAAGATTTGTTGACTTTTGGCCCAGTGAACTCTTTATTTCCTTCTGCTTTCCTGCCACCCCAACTAAGAAGATAGGAAACATTCCACTATGAAAGTGGTTTTAGACCAAAACCTCGTTTCTCTGTGAGGTTATCTTGATTCCCCCCGTCACCCCCCCAATTTTTTCGGTGTTGGAGATCAAACCCAAGACTGTGCACATGCTAAGCATGTATGTACTCTGCCTCTGAGTTATACACCCAATGCTGAACCCCAAATATTAATCACATCCTGAGGAATTATTAGACTCTTAGACCCACATGAGGGTCCAGTATAACTTGAGCCTTTCTGCATGTAGCCACAGTAGATACTGGTACTTGAACGTCAGATGCTCCATCACTCATAGGACCCTTTATATTCACTCAGTCACCTACCCTAGCCCAAATGCCTGCTTCCGTCCACTCACCTGCTTGTATGGTCTCTGTCAGCTCAACTGAGTAACAGGGACTCTTGTCCTCTTTAAATACATGGAGGCTGTCACCAGCCTTGGCCTGCTGAGGGAAGGGCAGGAGGGAGGTTGAGGGGAGAGGGTGAATAAGACATGAGTAACGCAACTGCTATCAGAGGCTGAAAATAGACTGTGACCAAAGCCCTGATTTTGTTCCCCCCACGCCAGCTGGGAGACTCTTAGAGAACAATATCACTTGGGGTTTTTTTAATTGCCAATTGCCTGTGCCACCAAGGGATCCATTTGTAGAGTATATAATTTCTTATTAAATGTTTGGACTGGGAAGAAGAGCAAAGGATTTTATATTTGAAATCATTTCTCCAGGCCCCCACCCACTGACTGACTATCCTGAAAATCAGCACCAGGTACCTGTAAATGAATCATGAGCCATGTCTGGGAGCTCTCTGGAATTTCAAGATCAGGTCATTACACTCATGAGAACTCAGAGCTAAAAATACAAGTGATGGGGGTCTGAAGGGATATTTAGCTAATTTCTTCAAAGAAGCTGGTAGGGGGAGAGGGGTCAGCTAATCATCAGAGGCCTGCCACTCTACCTGTCCTATGAAGAAAAGTTTTCTCTCAAGTTTTTTTTTTTTTTCTTTATTGGCAATATTGGGGTTTGAATGCAGGGCCTTGCACTTGCTATGCAGGAGCTCTACCACTTGAGCCATACCCCCAACCCTTTCAAATTTTGAGTTATTTTGTTCATCATCTTTTTCTTTATAAGAATTTGACCAAACACTGCATCATTTTTTATCATCATAACATGTTTATGACAAATCTTGTTAAATCTCTGTAGCCCCACATTTTCTACAGAGGTCTAATTTCTCTTTGCCTGGAATTCAGTTTGTCTTTAATTGAACATCATGGATCCATATGAGTCATAAAATTTAATAGCTGGCAAAAAGTTCAGAGATTTAAAGCCCATTTTTTTATGTCATGGACAGAGAAACCAAGGCATCAAATCCAGTTAACATCAGGCCATAGATTGGAATTCAAGTCATTTGTTCCTCAAGAACAGGCACTTTCTACTCGGGTTAATTTGGTAGTTGAGATTAGGTGTAGTTAGACTCCAACCAAGAGGTTTATGAACACAGTCCTTCAAATCAATCTAGTAGCCCACAAAGCAATTCGTTGAATGGTGGAATATTCCATGATTGTGGTAATCTCACAAAGATAGCCATGGCACTTTTCATATGAGATAACCTTGGTCTGTGTTTAATGGAACATCATATTCATTGCTGAAATAAGACAAAGAGGAATACCTATCTTAAAAGGACTTCAGAAGTCTAGGACAGTGGTTTTCAAAATTATGTACACGTATGCATGTTTAAAATCAATGCTTTTTTTTCTATAGACAACCTTAAATGAAACATAAATGGTAAAGCAGGTAAAAGGGAAGTTCCATAGTTTGAAATGACTATTTTCACCATTACTTCCTTGCCCTTTTCCTGCATTTGGACCTTGCCTTGCATCCCTCCCTACAATAAATAGATCATTTGTAATTTTTAGGTTCAGATTGTCATTAGTTTTATTCATTACTCATTAGTAGTTCTTTAAACCTAGTTATAAATTTTACTACTGTCTTCATTCAATTAGTGTTTCTTGTATACTTTTTGTATGTTACACTTTAAATTCTGTGTACGTGACAGAATGAATTCTTAAGAGTCTGTTATAAACTTACTACATTCTTACATATTGTGGTCTGAGTATTGGTCAGCTGGGCTGCTTTAACAAATGCCACAGACTGAGTGACTTAAATAACAGAAATTTATTTTCTCACAATTCTGGAGACTGGAAATTCAAGATCAAGGTATCAGCAGGAATTGTTTCTTCTGAGGTTTCTCTCCTTGGCCTATAGATTGGGTCTTCTTCCCGTGCTGTCGTGTGGTCCTCCCTCTGTGTGTCTGTGTCATCCTAATCTCTTGTTATAAGGACACCAGTAATATTGGATTAGGGCCTCATTTTCTTTTAATTACCTCTTTGAAGGCCATATCTCCAGAGTATCACCTTCTGAGGTGCTGGAGGTTAGGACTTAAACATGAATTTTGGAGGAACTCAATTCAGAATTAATTTTGCATTCCACTTGAATGCAAATATGATTAAGATTAAGAACTACATTCAAATAATTTTGGGCTAGAACTTGGAAGAATTTTTTTATTATATTTGAGTACTGTAGATAATGGTTCTGGTGTCTGTCTTATTCATGTTTCTTTATTAATTTGCTTTGTTTCCTCTGGAAATGTTTAGGGTTTTCTTTTAAATTTCATGAAACTTTTCTCAGGGTCTTTTAAAGTTTATTTTACTTGAAATTTAGTGGGTCTTTTCACCTAAAAACTCACATTTTCTTCAGTTTTGGTAATTTTTAAATATGATTTCTTTCATTAATTCCTCCCTCTATTTAACTCCTATTAGAAATTAGAACTTTGGGGCTGAAGACAGTGGCTCATATCTGTGGTCCCAGATAAGGGAGGCAAAGATCAGAAGGATCAAGGTTTGAGGCCAGTCCAGATGAAAAGTTGGCCAAACCCCATCTCAATCAGGCCAGGAAAAGCCTGGCATGTTCTTAGCTGTATGGGAGGCCTAAGGCAGGAGGGTTGTGATCTGAGATCTGTTCTGGGCAAAAATAACCCTACCTAAATAACTAAAGTAAAAAAGGATTAGGGTATGGTTCAAGTGGTAGAGCACCTCTCTAGAGGTGAAGAATAGTAGAGACTCTGAGTTCAAATCCCAGTACCACCAAAAAAAAAGATGAAGAAGAAATTAGAATCTTGTCTTTTTATGTTTATTCAAAAATCCCTTAGCTCAATCTTATATGGAACTAATTTACATTTCATGTAAGTGCATTCTGCTACTCAACTCAGCTACTAATTTTTTTTGGTGGTATTGGGGTTTGAACTCGGGACCTTGTGCTTACCAGGCAGGGGCTCTATGACTTGAATCATGCCCTAAGTCTTTTTGCTTTTGTTATTTTTTGCTATGCTGGTTGGCCTGGACTATAATTCTCCTATTTGTACTTCCTGTGTAGCTGGAATGACAGGCATGAGCTGCCACATCCAGCTTTTTATTGGTTGAGATAGAGTCTTTTGTAAACTTTTTGCCCAGGCTGGCCTCAAACAATAATCCTCCAGATCTCTGCTTCCCAAGTAACTAGGCTTATAGGCATGAACCACAGTGCCCAGCTCATCTACTAATTTTTTAATATTCCATCTATACTTTTTTTGAGACAGAGTATTGTTACATAGCTTGTCTCAAATTTGAGATCTTCCTGCCTCAACCTCTTGAGTGCTGGAATTATAGGTGTATGCCATCACACTTAAATGTTTAATTTTTAATATGTCTAATTTTTTCCATATAGCATGTCCTTGCTTTATGAACAATACATCATTTTGAATGTGTCTGAAGATATTAGCTACTCTAATTCAGGGGAAATCTCCTTCTGTTTACTCTATTAATTCTGTTTTCTTGATATCAGTGAGGTGATATAGGTGAGTTTGGTGTTTCTCCTGAATGATGCTGGTTTTCCAAATACATTTGGGATTCTTGAGTTTTATCATTTTATTTGAGAATTGCCAATCAACTCTTGGTGGGGCTTTCCCACAGTGATTGTGGGGCAAAGGCAGAAAATGCCGATCAGTGGTGTGCTATGGTGACTGTCTAGGATGGGATTGGGTCCTGCCAGTCCCTCTAGAAGTTACTGGTTCTTTGAGGGAGTTTTCAAGGCATTTCTACACCTCAAGTTGAAGCCACACTTGTCCTAGATCCATTTCCTTATTCATCAGCCTCGTGTTCTCCCGGAGCCCTCTCCCATGCCTGTCCACTGATTTCAAGTTTGGAATGCCCCCTGAAGAGCTTCCACCTCATCTCCACACTTTGCTGCATGTGTTCAGACCTTCTGTCTCTGGCCAATCTTTCTGTTTTCTCTCTGTAATTCTTCAAATTTCCTACTTGATGATGGATGCTCTTTTGTTGTTTGTTCTTCAATATTATTCCTTATTTCTTTTCTATTAAACCTCTTTTTGGAGTATATAGTTTGCTGATAATCTTTAGGTTGTGCTGCCCAACACAGAAACTAATAGCCATATGTGGCTATTTAAATTGAAATTATTTAAAATTAAAGCTTAAAAATTCAGTTTCTCAGTCTTGTTAGTCACATTGCAAGTGCTTAATGGCCACATGTGGCTAGAGCCTACATGATAGAAATCAAAGATAGAAAAGTCTATCATTACAGAAAGTTATGTTGGACAGCACTGCTCAAGAGCTTCTTTCTTTTGGGGGGGATCCTCTCTGTGATGCTTTGAGAAATGGCTAACATTAAGCATGCATTGAACACATAGCAGGGTACTTGATCACTAGTAGCTAAAAGTTCACTCAATGATAAATGAATGGTAATATCAAGACTTGAACCCATTGTTCCTGCCTTATTGTCGTCCAGAATAACCATAAGTGAGTAAGGCATTGAGAAACAAGTAATGAAGATGACCAGGCAAAAGAGTGGGTGGAACAATGAAAAACACATGCCTTAAACATTACCTTTATACTCAAAATCAGAAACAAAAGGAATTAAATTATAAAGTCTTTATTTAATCCACATAATAACTTTGTCAAGAAGGTATGACTTGCCCCATTGTATGGGTAAGGAATGAGATCTATGCAGCTCATTAAAATGAAGTCAGCTCCTTAAGACCCCATAGTTGAGGTCACAAAGGGTCAATGGCAATGTTAGCACTAGAAGTCACTGCTTCCTGTCCTTCAGTTCTCTGGAATAAATTGTTGAGAAGCACATATCACAAAAGTGACAGGGAAATTCAAACCTCCCAAATTCTTTTACAATAGTCCCCAAGGTCCCTTCAGTAAAAATTTCTGGGTAATACACAAACACACACAAGTTTATTTATGTATATATATTTATTTCTTGTAAACTATATATTTCTATAATATGTATGTTAAGCAGATTCAAAACTATGTGCTAAAAAGGATGAAATAAATATAATAAAAGTTCAAATTCTTTTCCTCATACTCTATTATTATCTTACGTTCTCTAGGTTGCTGCCTACT